GCACGCACACACATACATACACACACACACACACACACACACACATAAACACACACACACACACCTCCCACTTCCCATCCCCAGACACTTACGACACCCTGGATGCCTGCTATGACTGGGCGCGGGAGACGCTGCAGGCCCACGCGGCCGACAAGCGGGAGGTGGTATACACACGGTGAGGGGGCGCAGATAGCATTGCAGGGTACGCACGAAGACACGTACTGAGCTACTTTTGATGACGTCTATAAGGGGGTGTGCGGGTATGGTTTATGGTGCGCCTCAGAGCGGGTGGCGCAGTGCACTTGGGGTGGGGATGGACGTGTCGGGTGGCCTACGCACTTCATGGCGGGGCCCCGGCCGCCTTTTTCACACTATAAAGCTTTCCAGAGATCCCACCGTTTCAGGCGGTCATATCCCGCTCCTGGCGGTCACGCCCCCCTCCCGGACTGCTGTCACGGCCGCCTTCGGGGCGCGGAGCTTTGACCCCGAACTGTGCGTTTTGACCCGGGTCCCTCAAAAAGCACCCAACCTCTCTCCCGTCGTGCCGACGTCGCACTGCACCCATCTTCACCGCTGATCGTGCGCCGTCCCACCAGGGACCAGCTGGAGAAGGGGCTTACGCATGACGAGCTGTGGAACGCGGCGCAGTGGGAGATGGTGGGCGCAAGGGGGGGGGGGGCGTTGGGCGAGGGATGGAAAGCCCAGCAGGTCCCTCCATCTGGGGGCTTGAAAGGGTGGCCTCTAAGCCTGGGCCTCATCGCGGTTGCGCGATGGAGGCGACATCGCGCAACCGCGCTCCGCGCCGCTGAATCACCACCTCTGTGCTGCTGCTGGAAGAGAACAAACTAGCGCCTTGTTCCCGTGACAAACGGATGCCCGGCATCGAACCGCAACTTCGAATCCCGGCCAAATTGGAGCCAGCACTCGTTGAGTACCTCGTCATATCCCCCGTCGAACTGCGGTCAACCATTGGTCAACCCCCAGGTGCACCACGGGAAGATGCACGGCTTCATGCGCATGTACTGGGCCAAGAAGATTCTCGAGTGGACTGAGTCGCCACAGCAGGCGCTGGAGGTGTCCATATACTTGAATGACAAGTGAGACGGGGCTGGTGGGGGGCTGGGTGTGCGGGTGGGGGCGACCCATGGGACTTGTGGGGATCTGGCGAAAGGAGGTGGGCGGGGCTCTCCGTTGGAAATGAGCTTAGATGGGGTCATGCGGAATGGAGTGGCGGCGGGGGCGCGAGTTGGTCAAGAGATTTGGGACGGCGGGGTTCGCGCCTGGGCTGCGGCCTGCGTCGAGGGCCGACGTCGCGCGGCACGGGCGCGTGCATGCGTTTGTGCGGGCAATAGATTGTCGGCGCGTGCAGCACCAGCACCACGTTCCCAACCCGCAGCCCTCGTGCGTCGCACCCCCTCCAGCGCCGCGGCTGCGGCGCTCTTTCAGCCTCCAACGCCCCTCGCGCCCCCCCGCATTTGGTCCAGGTACGAGCTTGACGGCCGCGACCCCAACGGCTACGTCGGCTGCATGTGGAGCATCGGGGGCATTCACGACCAGGTGGAAGAGCGTTGTGGGGTATGTGTGTGTATGTGTGTGTGTGTGTGTGTGCGTGTGCGTTTGTGTGCGTGTGTGTGAGAGTGCGTAGAGGTGTGGATGGGTGGTATTCGCGCATTTGACCAGGGCACGTTTTTTTTGGCGACGGCCATAGTTTTTCTGTGAAGAGAGCATAACACGGAGGAAGGCAACGGGGCCTCGCCCTGCTCGCGGCTCCGCCCCCGTCAAGCGCCGCGGCCATTACGCGCCCCAGACGCATGCGCGCCTGCCGCCTCTGCCAAACCGTGAATGCTCAACTTATAAACTGTCCCCCTAGGGCTGGGCGGAACGCCCCGTGTTTGGCAAGATCCGCTACATGAACTACAACGGCTGCAAGCGAAAGTTTGACATCAAAAAATACTGCGCCAGGGTGGACAGGCTGAAACGGGAGGCGATCGCAGGGGCCGGCGCTGCGGCCGGTGCGGGGGCTGTTGCCGGCGCCGGCGCCGCGGCGGTG